AAAAGAATCTTTTCCCTGGAGGCTTTATGTTTTTATTTTAATATTAATTAAAGGGATTATTTTTATCGAATTATGAACTCAAGTTAAGTCATGAATTTATCGCCATATCATTAAAAGAATCTTTTTCCCAGAGGCTTTATGTTTTTATTTTAATATTTTTATGTATTATCCAAGAGCTGTATCGCGAGGAAAGATTCAGGTATGCTGCCAAACCAAATTTATGTTTTAAAAATTTAACAAATTCAAACAAAACACACAATCTGAAGCAATTTTGGAAAACTGAGATCATTGTGTGAAATGAAATTTCCAACTATACACGCCGGGGATGAAAATGGCGGATACTTCGTTTCAAATTGAAGAGGTTCTCTACCCCTCATAAAACCGCTATAACTTTTAAGAGAGTTGTTAATAACAGGAAAGTTATGGGAAGCTCAGGCTTATAAATACGTAATGTAGATCATTTTTAAGTGACATTTTAATTTGTGAAAAAAATAAAAAAGATCAGGTGTCGGCACTTTGCCGTCTAAAGTGCTCGTGTGAGCGTTCAGAATACATACATTTTTTAAATTTGTGTAAGGAATTGAAAGAAGAACCGGGAAAATGAATTTCTGGTAAAAGTTAGCACGACAACGTGCCCTCTGTCCAATTAAATACGAATATTATACGGCATCTTGAAGAACGTATTATAATTTGAACTTTTCTATCCAACTCTTTCTGCATATTAGAAAAAAACTCCGTTTATTTCCCAAAAACACGCGCAATACAAAGAATAAAAAAAAAAAAAACATTAGGGCTTTAGATATTTTCAATTGAACCATTTCAGGGTATTTATATATCTCTGTATTTGGACGGGTTACTTTTTATTTAGTTATCAATCACAGCAGCTATACTTACAACAGGATTCTCAAACTAGTATCAGTTTCTACACAAACTTTTTAAATATGGTTCTGTTATAGTTATAGTTCTGTTATATAGAGAAAGTTATTTATATAAAAACATGACATCTATATATAAGAAATGGAAGAATTAAATCACAAATGTTTATTTTACACGTAAAACAAACTTCTACTGTCCTTACTGCGATGAAAAAATATTGGGAGGGCTTGGGTCATCAGGTGAACCCTCCCAGCGGTTTCGCCAATTTGATCAATCAGACCGCTATTTAGAGCTCTAATATTGTATTGGACGATTCTGTTTATATATGTTACACTAGACTATATATGCAGAAAGGATAGTAGAGGTTTGTTTTATGTGTAAAAAAACATTCGTGCTTTAATGTTTTAATATTTTATCGAAAGAGTTATATATAGCAGTTGAAACAAAATTAATTCGACCTAGATCAGAATGTAACAGGATCAATGTAACAGCACAGCCATCGCTACTCTCAGCAAGAGGTTTGTAGTTGGGGCTACAGTGATATCCCAGGACTGAGCTCCTACTTGGCCTTGTTACATCTTGGCACAAGTTATCTAGCTATTCAAATATAAAAGTAACAATTTACACTTTAATGAAAATAAATTCTAACGCTTTTAGACTTTCATCTTTACACTGACTCCCTAAAATTTTAGCATCAGCGCATCTTTTCCTATAAATGGGTAAAGGTTTATTAAGGGCGAAAATTCATGTATCTATATACGGGTAATGATTTTGCATACCCCTTTTTAAAGAGTTCGTTTTTTTTTGTATAAAATAAAAATGTTAACAAGAGTTTTATTGTGTGTTCTACTCTATATATATGTTTCCCTATTTGCTTGCCAAGAGGTTTATATCTTTATATACTTAATTCAAAACTTTATGCTGCTCTATATACTAGATATATGTCTGGAAAATACACCGGTGTGTTAGAAGGATATATGTAAATAATGTATACGGAGATTTGAGAGAGGTATGTTGGAAGAAATACTCCTCTGGGTATTCCAGTACCTGCACGATGTCTTTGAGGGTCTGGAGCTGGGTGAGACGGTGGGTGGGGTCGGACTTCATCACCTCGGCAGGATCCAGCCCTGTCAGGGTCTGCCACAGGAACGTGGCGTTAACACCCAACACATTATATCACAGTTGTAGAGGAGGCTAGGCTTGGTGGTGGTCTTGTAACGAAAGAAAAATAAGTATAAACCAATATTTACTCTTATTTATAAATCTTTCTCAAAGATGACAAAGAATTACCAGAATGCGCAGCTTTGAATAAAATAAACCAATATTGTTTGATGGAGAATACATTTTTCCATTACAAATATTAGAATTGGTTATATGTTCCCCAACATAAGGAGTGCGGGGTCAGACAAAAGATCAGATTTAATAATTTAGATAGTCTTGCATGCTATACGTTTGGTTAGCTACCCGATGTTGACTGAAATAGGCACCTTGCAATATTAGGTTACTTATTAAGGAGTCCAATCACTGGGACAACTCAACTTAGTACCTGTAGAGTGAGTCAAGCATACACAATCAACAACATGTTACCCATTCGAGATTTTGGGACAATAAATATATTGTGACACCCAACACCATGCTATATATTTGACAGAGGCCACACATATAGCATTCAGCAGACAGCACATAGCTTCACATTAGATAGGTTCTACTACTTTACCCATTTTGACAGGTAACAATCAAGATGCATAGTATGCATAAAGACATAATTGAACAAATTTGACACCCCAACTGACCACAATACTGGTCAAGTCACTCACGCCGGAAACTGACTTATTCAGGGAAGGTACTCACCGCCCATTCCTTCAGAACCTCGTCTCCCATCTCCTTGGGCTCCGTGGAGTGCAGGGTCCCCCGCTTGTTGTAGTCCCGGGCTATCTGTAACATTCCCAATATTCCAGCCTGTGACTTAACTCCGTCCGATCCATGTGTCTAGATTTGTCCTACCTATGTGTCTCATTCACAGTTTATACATTTGTGAGAACACACGCCTTAGTTTGGATCGAATAGGATTTACCATCGACCTGTTCAATTGAAGGCTCGGCGCGACCCAATGTCCCTCATGGAAATAAGAGTATAGTGCTTATTGGTATTGATACAAATTTTTAAAATCTCAAACAAAACAGGCAAAACGTGCAAAATTTTAATACGTAAAATATATACAATAAAGGCACCTCTACCTCCTAATATATGTATAGCACAATGTGTCGAACTAATTCATGCTCGGGCAGCATAGTTTCAGATAACACCAGCGTTGGAAAATTGGAACAAAAGCCATCAAACCTGTATTCTATGGTGTGGGGATATGGGCCTCATCAGTACAAGGACGACTCCTTCCGTAGGATGTTTGAAATCAAAGCAGTGGAGAGGGTCAAAGCCACCCCAGACCATGGTTAGGTTGGTGGCTTTTGTTCAAATGTTGTGTCTAATTTGTTGATCTGAATATGAGCGCGTTTTGCGAAGATAAGATTAAATTAATGAAAAAAAAGTTTTGATATTTCAATAAATTTATTTTTCACATCAATACCTCAACTATCCGCACTTTTATAAATAAAATATTTGAACAAATAGTTTCAATATTTGGAATTGTATAAAAAATATATAAATACAAGGAGATAAGAGAGTAAATTATGTAAAAATTATATTTTTAAAATGTTAACAATTTTAAAACATTTAATTCAAAATTTTACACGCTTTTTTTCAAATTTCTAAAAACACATAAGCACTATACCCTTTTTTACTTAAAAATTAGATCACCGAAATGTTGGAATGAACAGTAAAAGATGTTGATGGTTTTAATTATATTTACAAAAACAAAATTATGAATATACACAAATATAAATTTTGTATACACCTCACAGTATCAGGTCTGTCAAGAACTTACAAAATAAATAAGACACATTGTACATATCTTACCTTGATATCCTGTTTCCAGAATCTCGACGCCTTGGAGGAAAGAGGGGCGACTTCTTTGATCTGCGACACAGTTGGGGAGACATTGTCAGATGTCTGTCTACATGGTAGGACAATCTTCTATACTCAATATATCTATGACATATACTCTGTAATATAGTTGTCTGTAAAACGTCGATCAAAAATTACACACGTTTGTTCATGAGTGTATATTCGTTTATCTTTTAAAACCATTTTTCATCTACTTGTTCGTTAAAAGTAGCGTATAAACTGCGAATTCCTGAGATTAATTCGTATAAGATATCAAGAGCCTATTCCAGAAAGATGTGCATGTCCTAAATATATTCTATATACGAGAGAGCGATTAGGCTTTGATTAATTTGCGCATGTGATCTAGTGATATACGAAAGGTGCGTCCCATCTCTCCACTCACTTCATGAAATATGACGCTAGCATGTTCCTCTTGAGTCTTCTCTCTCCGAGGAGAATAAAAAACCTCTACACAATAACTATAAATGAACTTATAGTAATGTATGAGACTTGAAAAAGAAGAACAAATATAATGATTCCCATGAGAATTGAAGCAAGACTTGTGTGTGCATGGGCATAAAATTGTATAAGAGCAATGATATGATATTCAGAACAAAAACATAAATAATAATAATTTTATATGTTAAGCAGGTTTTATAAATGTATCCAACAATTCAAATGTACTAGGGTTATCACTTCACTCAGGCACATCGCTGGCAGGATTCGATGTATTAAATTAGAAATAGTCTAAAGAATATTCCTTTTCTCTCATTCAGGTGGTCTCTTATTGGAGGTTTAACTACGTCAGGGCAAGTCATTCTAGATCGTAAAAAGATGGTCTCTCATCAGATAGATAGCGGCACGCATACACATACGTGGGGGTTCTCAATTTTGCAACAAAATAAAGAGTCCACATAGTCAGTCCCATTTCACATGGAATCAAGGGGCTATCCTAGAGAGTATCAAAAGTAACCAGATGGTCTTCAATGGGCCGAAGTGTAAAGTTGACATATATGTACGGATGGGCCAGTGTATGTTTGATGAGGATGGGATGGTACATCAAGTCAGGTATGGCTGGCAGACAGACTGACTGGATAGCTCACCCGGAGCTTTGTAAATATATTTCCAACAGAACACACCGGTATAGCGCAGTACAGCCCGATCATTGAAGTTAAGCAATGTCAGGCCCGGTCAGTACTTGGGAGGGTGACCACTTGGGAACACCGAGTGCTGTAGGCCCCTGTGTGTGACGGGATGATTACTCGAACAAACACGATTTTGCTGATATTGCACAAGTTTTATGACATCCCATGTTTTCTTGTCCTCATATCCCGATGTACGGATGGGCCAGTGTATGTTTGATGAGGATGGGATGGTACATCAAGTCAGGTATGGCTGGCAGACAGACTGACCTTGAGGACGGCCACGGCCATCAGGACGATGCAGACGATGTTGACCAGCGTGAGTCCCAGACTGACCACTCCCAGGACTCCACACTCAACGTCCATGGAGTCCGAGAACACGGGATGGTAGCCTTTGGGAGCGGCTAGGGAGGGCTTCAGGTAATCGGGGTTGGGGGGTCCGCTGATCTGGACAACCCCATTGTCACCGCCATTTATACGGTATTTCTGTATTGTAATGCCTTTTATCACAACATTTCACAAAATTTTAAACTCTTAGTTTATTAGGATAGCTACCTTCAATATATTCCTTAATGTGCTCTTTATGTATGTCCTGGGGTTTCTTCAGCCAATATATATACAAATTTATCGGTTAAAACTAATATATAGTGGTCATAAGAAACACACACACAAACCGCAGATATCTCCAAGAGGAAACAAGGTTTAGTAGTTTTCCAGTTGTGGCATCTCGAACAGGCATTGCACTTAGAACATCCTTAGTGGGTGACTTACTGCTGTTGCCTCCTCTCCCATGGACTTCCAGAACTTGATAGCTGCCAGTGCCCATAGAAGTCCCTGCATCACACAGGGAGTTAGACGTTCTGAAGGATAGACATTCATCTGATGACATATACATATCCATGTAACCGGCATGATTACAATACAAAATGTAAAGGCCCAATTGTCACGACCTCAAATCAGGAGAAAATAGCATTATATTTAAAATAATAATAATAATAATAACTAGGCCGAATCATAGTCTCCAGTTGGGAGTTCTAAATTTGCCAAACTGGTGTCACGGCTCTGTCACTGACCTCTAGTTTGCTAGAAACATTCAATAGATGACTCATTGATCTGGCGTCTATTTTGTGGTGTGGGGGGTTATTCCAAGGAATGTAAGGGACCCACGGCGTTGACGAGAGGAGGCAGCAGTGAGGCAGAGATGGCCACTCCCACCAGCGATCCCGCGTTGCCCCCTAGGATGGACAGCGCCACCCCGGCCCCCGACGGCAGGGCGATCAGGGCCCCCACCCACAGGCTCCTCAGCAGTCCCCTGTGTCACAACACACATCAACAACTTGCTACAACAGATAAATTGACACACGGAATATTTCTTACAGCTCTAGACTCAATGTATTCCTGTGGCCACCGCGTTATACGATCTTGGCGCCACTTTGGCCGTAGCACTTTGGCACTGGAGGTCAGTACCAAGTTAACTGGTGTTGTGGTTAGGATATATTCTGAGGTCATAGGTCGGTATATGAGGACAAGAAAACATGGGATGCCATAAAACTTGTGCAATATCAGCAAAATCGTGTTGGTTCGAGTAATCATCCCGTCACACACAGGGGCCTACAGCATTCGGTGTTCCCAAGTGGTCACCCTCCAAATTACTGACCGGGCCTGACATTGCCTAACTTCAGTGATCTGTCTGTACTGCGCTATACCGGTGTGTTCTGTTGGGAATATATTTACAAAGCTCCGGGTGAGCTCTCCATTCAAGAAAGGAATATTACTCTCTAATGATTTTTTTAATTGTTTAATAATTACTCTGAAATGGCGAGTAGTGTGTGTGGACGTAAAACAGGTATCATTGTGGGTGTGTGCAATGTTGGAATATTACACAGAGAGTAACAGTGGCTATAGATGAGCTCGTGTTTGAAAAGGAACTTGTATATAATAATTATTGTTTTTGTTTTTTTTCACGTAAAACATATACAAAGATTTGTTTTGTATAATTACATATTATTTATTATTAATAAAAATTATACAAAACAAATCTTTACATATTATTTATTATTAATAACAAAGTTAAATTGGTTACGGATTCATCCTTCTTACTTACTTTAATAACATGCAATTTCTCTCTAGGTCAACTATCGTATCTTCTCTACTTCCAATTCTGAAGTTACTTATATTGAAAATTACAATGCATAGAAGATATTGGTAGAATTAGCGATAATGGAACACAATTTTGATTATTATAATGATACTTAGAATACATAGGTAGTACAGATATAGATGGTGGCTATATATTCACTCAGGGCAATTCTTGGTGAAGCCGCTTCCTTAGTTGAGGCATTTTATAAACAAAAAAACTTTATTTGTAGATCGCACAGACAATCACGCAGCGCCACTCCCTAGATTATAATTTCTCGACGAATTAATGAGAATATCGCCACACCGATGAGTCACCCAGCCGGTTGCTGCAACGGCATTTCTTCAAGTCCCATGACCAATTGTCCCGTGACCTTCCGACGTTTTGTCTGTCCTTTTAATGAACGGCCTTGTCTCCAATCCAATCTGAATGGAAGAGCGACAAATCTCTCTAAAGCGACCTCCCTCTCGAAAGTGTCTTCTATTCTCTGTGACCATTCTCGCAGAATATCATTGAAGACAATCGATCTATTCCAAGTGATCACTTTGGATTGAAATGGTCGATGGCTCTATGGAGAGTTTATTATATATTCTGTTTAAAAACTAAACTCTTTTTTATAAAAATGTATTTCAAAGAGAGATATAAAAAGAGAGGAGATTAAAGGATAATCCGATTTATCGTCAGGCGCCAGGTTTGGAGAACTTTTGAAGGAAAAACTCGAGGATATAAATCGAACATAAAACATTTTTATTTTCTACTTTAAAATGCACGTTGCATAAATATTAATTATTCAAAATAGTGAAATCCCTCAATTATAATAAATTCATTAAATAATAAAAGTTTATCTTATATCAATATTTTATATACTAAACGTTCAATATTTAAGGGATGATATGTTTAAAATACTTTTTTGAATATTAGAAGATGGGTGAACTAACTCGACAAATAATGGATCTTTAGAATATAAACAATATTGATCCAGATAAACTTCTATTATTTAATACATTTTAATATTTGAAATATCCTGTTTTAACTGATGGTAGTGTAGAGCCCCATTATATGTTGTAGGTAGATACAGTAGAACCTCCATGAAAGGACACTCCCGCTAGAAGACACCTCTCTACAAAGGACAGTTTTCATCACAAAAATGACCATTTTAACTATTTAACAACTCTCCGGTAAGAGGATACCTCTCCATAAAGGATACGTTTGCTCTGTAACTAGGTGTCTTTTACAGGGAAGTTCTACTGTAATAGCGAAGTGAAAATAACGCTTACCATCTCTAGCTAGGATTGACTTCAGTAAGAATTGCGAAGGCCAGGTTAACACTTTTTATTTCATCAGCATATTTGTTTATTGATTTTCATATCATGACTCCTTCTTATCGCATTTTGCTATCAATTATTATAATATCATAATTCTATTGTATGAACTTGTAATATTAATTTCTAAAAAGAGTAGGAAACTTCCCCTGCAGTCAAATTCATTTAAGGCTTGAGTGATAAGTGTAGACAAACCATTTTACATATTTATCCTTCTCTCTGACAAACCCCTATATATTTCATAATTTCACCTTAGAACTTGATCAATACATTATTGAGAGAGAAAGATTAAAAATACCGTCAAATAATTGTGGAACATTCAAATTTAATACGGCATAAGAAAGTTAATTCTGGAATGATATCCAATAAAATGAAATAAAGAATGACTCGAAAAAGCAGGGAAGGGTAAAGAGGTATTAGGTGATTACTACATCGATTTTAGATTCAACACACACGCTTAAAGAGAAATCGCTTTTCTTCAATCTTATTAGAAACCACGAGTGTTACATTTTTTAACACAACGCGACACTATCTCCGTTAGATGGCTACAGACAGCGATATCCATCAAGATAGTTGGACACCCAAGATACACCATATTATTGTATTTTTATATTTCTCTCAGTTAGAAATCATTTAGTAAGAAAATTAAAGAGCTGTTTAAGACTTATCCAATGCTTTTGTGGGTTGGTAGTTAACCGCAGGAATGAAACAGGTAGTTCAATCAAATATAAGAAGTTAAATTCTCACAAATAATAGTCGAGACCAATATATACATCCATAAATATACCTAACATGAACTTCAGTATAGAGAAACTTGGAATTTTATCATTCCCATGTATCTGTAAACTGTGAGTGAACATAAACGGATCATATGCAACATGTAAATATTTACATACTGCCCAGGATACCAAATACTTGGATGACGTATAACGAAAGTGTTTACAGGAAAGGGCGCTGATGAAGCAAAGAACACATTCCAAAGAACACCGGTATAATTCCGAGAGAGAACACGTGTTAAAACAAAATACTAAGCCTCAATAAACTTCAAACAAATCCTGATGAAATGTTCTCTTCTATTATTTCTTACAGAGGAGAGAGATATCAATAATCTTTCAATTTGGCAACCGATATCTGTAGATATTTATGGCGTTTCCCAAACAGCGCGGATATATTGTTTGTGAAAGCTGTCATGGAACACGTGATATCGGTTGTAGGCAGAAGTTATAGGTGCTGGGATAAGTTATGGTTCAATGACAAAACTGCTGAGTCACACGTGTAGTTGTTTTATGTCTTGGGATTTGGCTTCCAGCACACGCCTATTGAGACAACTCTGATTCTTTAAGCGGACCGATCGAGTATTGTCATAAAAATGCACGTATTTGTTGAAATTGACTCTATATCACAAAACGCTATTGTTGTTGTTTTTTTCTTTTAAAAATTAAATCAACTTCTAAAGAGAGACATATTTCTCATCGCTAGCAAACACTTTCTGTGGTTTTACGCGATCTTCAGATTGTCTACTACAATTATATTGGGGATTGTTATGTTATTGTTCAAATTTTAATTCGTAAATAGTGAGGGTTTAAGGGAACCTATAAACATAGACTTCTAGGACTGGATATAGATGGAATCTTTGCC